CCCCCCGTCGCGGACCCTGGGGGCCGCTCGCAGGTGTTCGCTGGCGCCCGGATGTCTGAGCTCTGGCTCCGCTCTGGCTCCGGCTCCCTCCGCAGCCAGCGGGCGGGGCTCCCAACCCATCCGGAGCCTCGCGGCGCCCCCGCCGCTCTGCCAGCAGGGCGGCCTCCCAGTTCCCAGCTTCCCGGCCTGGGGGGGCCCCCCACCCGGTGGAGTCGCTGACCCCACCGCTCTCCCGCTGCCCCCAGCTGCTCTCGGCTGCTGCGGCCGCGGCGCGCCCCCACCCGGCTTCCTGCCTCGGCAGCTTTGCCCAGGCTGGGCGGCCGCCTGGATCGCACCCCATTCCTTCCGTCCTTCATTCTTTCAGGCCACTCGCATTCCTCGAGCGCCTGCGATGTGCCCCACACAAGGCCTCCCCGACCTTCCGAGTGCAGCCCAAGGCCCGATAGGGTCCTCCGGGAAGCCCCCGCCCTCCACCCCAGTCCCCGTAGCCTTCTCCTGGCTAATGCGCTATTTTGTTCAGAGTTTGGCATTACATTGTTCTGTTTCTCGTGTTTGGGGTCAGTGGAAAGGTCAAGGGGTAGCTTTGTGACTGAGATCAGAGGTCATTCTGATAGCAGGGTGAAGGGTCGGAGTGTGGCCAGAATTGGGGTTCAGTTGGACTGTGGGGGGCGGTTGGTGGCTGAGTGTGGGTAGAAATTGGCAGCGGTCAGTCTTTAGCCGGAGTTAGAGGAACAGGGTATGGGGGTCGGTCTGTGGGTAGTGTCAGTGACCAAGGTTAGCGAGGCAGTCTTTGGATAGCGTCAGTGGACAGTCAGGGTCAGGATAAATAGGTCATCCTGTGACCAGGATTTAGGGATAGCCTTTGACAAGCCAGATAAGGAGTGGGGAGCCTCAGTACCCCTCTGAATGCAAATTCACACCGTCCATGGCTGGGTCTGACCATACCCTCCCCCTTCCATCCGGGGACACCCGTTCTTCACCCCCATCACCCTGCTCCTACTTTGTTTCAGATGCTGCAGGCAGAAGCCTTCTTTGGGCCAGACTGAGGTCAAAGGGACCTGGTGGCAGCACTGCCAGGGGTAGGGCCTTAGGTTTCCTGGGGACCCCACCTTGGCCACCCACATTTATAACAGGTCTTCCCTGTGGAAACCCTGGTGTCGTAGTGGTTAAGTGCTAAGGCTGCTAACCAAAAGGCTGGCTGTTTGAAACCACCAGGTGCTCCTTGGGAACTCTATGGGGGCAGTTCTACTCTGTCCTATAGAGTTGCTATCAACTGGACGGCAATGGGATTGCTTCTTTCTTTTGTTTTTCCCTGTACTTTCTGTTATTTGTTCATAAATCCAAAGCCTGTGAGGAGTGGAAGGACCGTTGTTACTGTCTTATGGCACTGAGTCAATTCCGACTCATGGCAACCCCATGTATTTCAGAGTATAACAGCTCCGTAAGGTTTCCTTGGCTGTAATCTTTTTTTTTTTTTTTTTAATTGTGCTTTGAGTGAAAGTTTACAATTCAAGTTAGTTTCTCATACAAAAATTTATACACACATTGTTATGTGATCCTAATTGCTCTCCATATACTGTGACCGCAAACTCCTCCTTTCCACCCTGGATTTCCTGTGTCCATTCAGCCAGCCCCTTTCCCTCTCTGCCTTTTCTTCTCTGCCCATTTAGTCTCATGTATCTACTTGAGCTAAGAAGCACACTCTTCATGAGTATCATTTTATGTCTGATAGTCCAATCTAATCTTTGTCTGAAGAGTTGGCCTTGGGAATAGTTTTAGTTTTGGGCTAACAGAGAGTCTGGGGGCCATGTCTTCTGGGG